AGGATGCCACCTCAAAACCCACGTCAGCAATAACTCAACCACAAGTGACACGTGGATGACACGTAAGATTTTATTTAAAATTAATTAATTAATTAATTTTTTTAACAAAAACCCATTATAAAAAAATCAAAAACCTGCCCGCCTTCCGCTCACCACCGTCCATTCATGTTAAACTCGCCGTCAACCTCAGTTTTCCGGGAGCAAGAGAAACCCAGAAAGAAAACAATCTCCCAAAATGAAATATGCTCACATCTGAAATTGCAGTCATGACTTGTGGAGGAATGGAGACTTCTACTTATTCATGTTTCACCACTCGCTCCAATCGTATACAGAAGAACAAAATCAGAGAAAGAAAGCCAAAAACATTGGGAATCAGTTTATACCCAGTGGGGAGATTATCGACGTAGCTAATGAGCATCTTCAGCTTGCTCCCGTCGTCCAAGGACAGCTCGGCATGCATCTCCTCGTCCATAGCATCGGCGATCTTCTGCAACTTCTCCACTGTCGTCACACACTTGCGCTGGAACGCATCCGCAATGGCCCTTGTCTTCTCTCACTGCTCCAATTCCCGAGAGATTCATTTCGCCGATTGGGCCTTGTGATGGTCAGATCTGGAAAATCTCTCGAGTATTCTTCCGATCTGTTGCCATCCGCTGGCGCTTCGACCACCACAAGAAAGATGGAGACAACAATCGACGCTTAATCTCCATGCTGCTGCTTTGTTCTCACAATTCCATAGAGGAGACAACCCAGGTTGCTGATCCCATCTCGAACCCAGACAACAATCGAACCCTAAAATCAAATCGAATAAATCCCTCTGTATCACTTCTCTGCTTCTTCGTCTTATTCCCTTCCCGAATCGATCAAGGTGGTGAGGTCTGAGAAGAGAATCGGTTCGTTGTAGAGAAGACGAAATCAAACTCTCCACCAACGCCTCTATCTCTATTTCGCCGTCGCCCCTGTTCTGGAATCTGACTCTAACCAGCCCATGCGACGGCTGAAGAACGACCGGAATGTAGCTAGCTTATCCATCCCTCCATCTCTCCACTCCATCTCACCCTTCTAGAAATTCAATTCGACCAAGGGGTCCGAAAGGGGGTAATTGACAACAAGCAAAATCGGGTTGATTTGGGTTCATTGTTTTTGGGGAATATGTGGTTTGGGATTAATTTGGTTCTCTTTGATGAGATTAGGCAGTCAAAATGAAAAGGGGAAAGAAGGTTGAGGAGGAGGTAGGAAGGTACAGTAGGTATGGTGGCTGCTGGTATTGGAGGTGAGGACGGAGGAGGAAGAAGGACTATGAGAGAGAGAGGAGAGGAGGTGAAGAGGGCGGAGGGTTATGAGAGAGAGAGAGAGGAGTTGTTTTATTTTTTAACAAATCCACGTTAGAAATATGCACGGACAAAAATTGCTAGATAGGATGGTCCGTTAGTCCAGTCAGCACGTTAACTAACACCGTCAAACAATTGGACGAAAGTGGCTTTTTTTGGTATTTCGCCAAAAGTGGCTATATTTGGCAAAACCGTCAAAGTTTTGGCTACACAAATATATTTGGCCTAAAAATTAAGAAATCTGACTATGGATTAATAAGTTTTCTTAACCTCAAATCCTCAATCCTCATACAGTTGAGAAAGAAAGGAAAAAAAAAACTAATTCAACATAGAGCATGAACACATACCATGTTCTCTCTCCTCCATGTGATATTGCCGTATTGAAAAGTACATTGCAAGAAATGAAACTTTCATGTTTCAATCCACTGGCACATCCGTGTCCATCCACCATCTATTTACGGTTGTTAAAACAATTTTTACTGGAACTCATAAAAAAATAATTTTCAGTGGGAAGTCAATTCTCGATAGATTTTTTTAGTTGCTTCAAAATATTTTGTAACAAAGTTTGGTGGACACTTATATACAATTATACAATGTCTTATATTCCGATGTGTTATTTGAATTGTACCATAACAATAATCCCCTTTAGATAATGATCTCAAACTTTGTGTCTTCCCCTCATGGATTATGTTGATAAGCCAGATCACCTTGTATCGACAATCTTTTGGTACGAAGAGTTACCAAATGCATATCTCCGTTGATCTGCTAGACTGACGCATATCTCCATAAGATCTGCCAAACATGCACATATCTCAAATCTTAAAGTCACAAGATGAGGTTCTGCCAAATTGAAGTCCACCACCTTGGATCCAAGCTCCAAAATCAGGTTCTGATGCTAATTGTTGAAACCACAAGTCTATTAGTTTGATATTGATCCCTTTTGACAAAACCTGCACGAATGTAATTTGGGTTCCTTACCAAAAAACCTCTTACTAATGAAATTCGGTGGATACTTATATATAGGGCTGTTAATCGGTGCGGTTCGGTTAAACCGAAACCGCACCGTCGGTTAGCCGACACCGAAAACAGGGTGTATTCCCCAACCGAAGCCGACACCGAAGGGAGGATCGGTTAACCGCCAACCGCAACCGCCGGTTTCGGTTTGAAGTGACGGTTGCTCTGAGACCGACACACAACAACTCCGACCACCACCGTCGATGTGCATGTCACCGAAAATCAGATCTGAGTCCGCCGCGAATTCGGAGCTGATTCCACCGCGAATCGAGGTAGATGGGGGAGGAAGGGGAGAGAGTGTGAGAGGAGGATCTGGATCTGAATCCGTCGCCGGAGGCACAAGGAGGAAGATCGGAGATCGAGGACGACGGCAAACGACGGCGAAGGAAAGAGGTTGAGGACGACGGGGCGACGATTGACGAAAATCAAGATGTCGTTGCTGCTGCTGCTGACGAAAATCAAGGTTCCGATCCTACCAAGCGCTGTGTGGCCACCGTGCCAGCCACAACAAGTCCTCCTCCGCCGCCAAATCCCTAGCGGACGACGGAGGAGAGGATGAAGATAACCGCTGGATCTCAACTCCAGCCCATTGGATGACGGCTTCGGTCTCATATTTTGACAGCGGCACGGTTAGGCGGTGCACCGCCAGCGGTTTCGGTTATAGCCGATAACCGCTCGGTTTCCGAATATGGAGATTTTATTCAACCGAAACCGCCACCGATAGACTGTTTTCGGTTTTCGGTTCGGTTTATAACCGTTCGGTTCGGGTCGGTTTTCGGTTTAGCCGAAAAACCGCCAACCGATTATCACCCCTACTTATATATTGTATTTCCAACGTAGTATTTTAATTGGGCACAGTAAATCCAGATCTAAAGTTAGTGAATTCAAAATATTTTATTTTACATAGTTTTCTTAATTGACTCTTATCTTCTTCGTTTTAACTTGGATTTCAATTTTTTTTTTGCACAGATCGAACGAGTTTGTTGCTCTCTACAAAATGAGATCAATTTTCAATATTTTTAGAGAATTTGTTTCATACCTCTTGTTACCTACTCCATACCATATGATATCTCCTTCGTTTTTAAGCCATTTTTGAAAAATATTTGCACAGAAGGAATGAGTTCATCATGATCTATTGGATCTACAAATTTCTGGTGAAAAAATAAAAGACCAAAAAATACCATACTATACCACCTTGGTATGAGGGTGGTAACTTGTGGTACACGATGATGAAAGTTGTAAATGACAGTTAGTATACTCCTACTATCATATATTCAACCATCCTACAGTCTCGGTATGTTCATACCACCATTGTACACTTTCATACCATATGGTATGCTCTTATTTAATACCAGTCAATACCATATGGTATAGACTCGTAAAAAATGTCTTAATTTTTTTTTTGTTCTAAAAATATATCAAAGCTGATATCATTTTGAAAAACACAATTAATCTTATTTATCTGTGCAAATTTTTTTTAATTCCGACTTAAAATGAGAGAGAAATCGTTCGTCAAAGATTAAATGAGAAAAAATTAAAGACTTTCCGTAAAAGAAAGAATGCTAATATCATTATAATGTAAACATGTTATTTACGGTTACTTATTCTAAGGTTAATGACCTTATCCGAACTCATTATCACCATTGAGCAAAGAAACGTGTTTCTATTAATTTGAAAGCAAAGTGACTTGTATGCGCCAATGTTAAAAACTTAAAATGCATCACGGCTCCACTACTACGTACTCAAAGAGTTGGAAGTCTTAAAAGGCCACTAAGTAAGGTCGCCATCCACGTGGAGACAAGCGTGACACTATTATGTAGCTCAAAAAATATTACAACTCATTATAAACATGATTACATCTCCAGGCGTCAAAAGTCACGAAAGTTTGTGACTGAAAGTTGGAGATAAAATCAGTGCCTACTTCTACTATGTGGCCAAGAATAACAGAATATTAAGGCAAATGGAATAGTAGCTGAAACGAAGGATAATCTGCAATTTGCCAGTGTGAATAATGATTCATTAAGGCTTTGATGAATATAATCTAATTTACTTTTATTTCTAAAAACCCATAATACCAATTTCTTCTTTTTATATGTAAAATGTAGAGAAAAAGTACATATTTTTAGGAGTAATCGCATAAATAATATTAATCATAAACATAGATTAATACAAATATCTCAAATAATCAAAATAAGCCAACTATGGATTTATATGAAATACCTAATTAATACTCATAAAATGGTCACATGGACCCTACAATGCTATAATGCATCAATCCACCCCCTTAAGTAACCTCATCCCCGACGTTGGCATACCGATGAAGACAATGACGAACGGTGGTGATGGCTCGATATGCTGACATTTTCTAATCGAAATAGAGGTTAAACTCCATAAAATTTGGGATAATATGACATTTGTCATATTCTAATTTAAACGAGTAAAGTCTCTTTGAGTCCGCGAATAACACTCCTATATTTGAATACTTGGTCAATATTCGACATTGTTATCTAAATCAAAAACATACTCAGATCCGAATATTGAGGGAAACCAATACTATAAGTAACAAGAACAAAACTAACACCAACAACATCCTCTTTTTCTTAGACGAAGAAATTGCCTCACGTATCAAATCTTGACAAGAGTTCAACCCATTTCTTTTTTCGCACAGTTTGTCAAGCATCGAAATCGTAGCAACCCAATCGAGCTTGGTTGAACAACAGGTAATAACCATGAATATGATAATAAAATGCATAATATTTTAGTTCGCATTATTATTCTTCCTGGTATCCGTTGTGTACTTTATTTGCTGAAACATGGACATGTATCCAACAGCAAGCAACCACTATTGTTATACATCACCACTAACAAAAGATTAGTTAAGAAAAGACAATGTTTTTAGCAAAAAAAATTTAGAAGGGGATATGATGATATTAGGAACAAGGAAAGGGGAGACAACATATGAATAAGGGGATAGAATTAGGCAAAGTGGGGAAGTGCTCATCTACCAGAAACAAACATTCTTTCATGTGACACAGAATAGTAAGTTGACATTTTCCAATTGTGAAGTAGACATGGAAGCATAACTTTTTTCTCCCCCCCATTTCTTCCCTACCAATAATTCATTCCATGACCTCTTTCTCTTTTGTGCCTGGTGCTTATTTATATATAAAACATTCCCTGCCTCACCAGTTGTCTTTTCTTCTCATTCCATTCCTTTAAACTAATTAATTAACCATTTCATATATATAATAAACCCCACAAGCTTATCTCCTTCTGCAAATTTGCTCTGTTGGAAGGTAGATAGCCATGATGATGAAGAAGGCCATAATCCTCCCATCTTCACTCCTGCTGCTTCTCCTTCTCATCACTCCCAAATTTTCCCTTGCAGTCCCTGCCACCAGTGAGTTCTTAATTCTCTCTCTCTCTTCTCAATTAAAATTTTCCCATTGTCTCTATTCTCTACTATTATCTCTGTAATTTTTTGTTGTTGTGTGTGTAGTCACTCAATAAATACAAATCCTTGATTGGATTAATTAATTATATCGATATTGGTTGGTTGTAATAGGAAGCTTCATCATGGATAAGATGACTGCAAAAGAAGAAACCCCATCTTCCTCAACACCAACAATCCATGTCCTTGAGGTAATCTCTCTGCCCAAAACTCTTTTGCGACCAAAGGGTTTTGGTGATTTCTGTGGTGGCAAAAAGGTTTATTGTTGTGAAAAGTAGTGAGTTCCAAAAACTTATGTATTGAATTTTGCAGGGAGGGAAATGGGTGGAAGTTGTTTTGAGGGAGGAGGAGGAAGGAGGAGAAGATATTGGAAGTTATGACTTGGAAGGAAGGATGGATAGGGAAGAGTTCACAGATTACCCAGGGACAGGGGCAAACAATCACCATGATCCTAAAACTCCTGGAAGAGCTTGATCAATTTGTGTATTCACATGGTTTATCATGAACCATACAATAATTAGATCCCCACAGCCAAAGAAAGAAGTAAAAAAAAAACCCTACAGTTATATATATTTTTGACTGTGGGAGCTGGTTATCTCTCTGTGGGGATGGGAATGTATAAATAATCTTCTTTGTTTGGTTGTTTCTTAAGCTTTATGAACAGCTTAGGTAGTATAGAGTAAGTATTATTATTTTGTTGTGTTTTTTTAAAGCCTAATAACATGCCTGATTTTTTTTAGAAGCAACTGCTGCCTCTGCTCTTTTTTTTTTCTTTTTTCACTCCCACTTCTATCATTGTTCTTGGTGTCCTAGTTTACATGATTGTGGTCCGGAAAGGGAGGTGAAATTTTGTCGTATGGAAAAAATCGATGGGAATTGGGAAGAAAGCGGGTGTGTAAAAATAGCAAGGGAATACCGTATTTAGCAAGATTTTTATAGGTGATATAAAAAAAAAATTGATTGAACAGTTGTAGGGACACATTTATTCTTTTGGATATGATATACGTGGTTGGTCTTACTCTTAGCTAATCAATTCGTAGAGCGAGCGTATAACACGTCGCAAACAAATAATCTTATAAATACAATAAATGAAATATGATTAGTTACGATCAGTGATTTGGGGATTGGGCCCGTTGCTAAAGCTCAAAAGTTTAACAAGATGAGCTCTGATCTTTATCTGGTCGTCTTCAACCTTACACCAACAAGGTCATGTACTTGTTAGAGAAGCAAACACAAGATAGAGGAGAATACGTAAGAAGAGGAACATGTACACATAGATTTTTGTTAGCCGAGTTTGGCCAATTACTTTATGTCTCAGCTCAAAAGTGGCTCACTCTTTGAGACCTAGTATCTAGGTTTTCATCTTATTTCGATCTAATTCCAAATTGAGTTCCTTTGCGTGAAACTCAAACCCTTAACAAGAATAAAACATTATTTCCCTTTTGTCTCTTCCTCACAAGCACTCACGCTGAAAGAGAGACACTACACAATCTCACAAATAGTCAAGCAATAAAGACAACGAACACCTATAACTTCTTACATTTATTGCTAATCACAAAATGTTTGATCTTCTTTGTGTCGAATTGCTCCGTCGCATTCTGTAAGACTTGTCTTGTTTCTTCCTCTGATTTGTACTTTGTCTTGAACCAACGATCTTGTCTTGATTTTCTTTTAATTTAGGAGATTCTTCTATGATTTAGGAGATCCCACGATTACACATTTACAACTATAACAAGTCGTAGGATTAGAGGAATTTTACCTTGGCTATTACCTTTTTGCTAGATGAGTGCATAAAGGGAAAACCTTTTTTCCCCAACAATCTCCCCCTGCTTTTGTTTATGCAATCCTTAATTTCTCGAGGGATAAAAGCCATCAACTCATTAACATGCTAATATTGTTTATGCATAAAGATGTTAACTTGATTTTAATATAAACATGTTCAACACAAGTTCGAAAGCAAAAGAAGAATACATCAACTCATTAACATGTTAATATTGCCCGATCAGATCCTACTCTCCCCTTGATAGATCAACCTGCACTTAGAGCTAGCTTCTCATTCTCCCTTAACAATAACATTGCCTAATCTGATCCTGCTCTTATTCCCCTTTAAGGCTTTAACAGATCAACCAACGCTTCCTTAGAGCTAGCTTCTTATTCTCCCCCCTTGGTGGCTGGGATCTTAAAGATGGCTATAGGTAGGGCTGCAAATGAGCCGAGCCGCTCGCGAGCAACTCGGCGTTCGAATCGGGAAAAACTCGTTCGACACTCGACTTGTTATTTAACAAGCCGGCTCGCGAGCGAAATCGTTAGTTAACGAGCCAAGCCTGAGCTAGACCATGCTCAGCTTGATAAGCTCGCGAGCTAGCTTGATTCGGTGGCTTGTCGAGCTAAGCTCGCGAGCTGCCTTGTTTTGAGCTTGGGGAAGGATGAATTACTCTTTTAAACATGAACATTGTCTTCTAATACAGATGTGTATGAAATTTAGATGTTATTTATAGTTTCTAGTGTTCTTTCTATCATTTAAATTCTTATGTTTATACATTTTTCCAGCAAAAATGACTTTAAATCGAGTTCACCTTGAGCCGAGCTTGTACTCAGCTTGACAACCTATGTTAAGGAGAATTTATCGAGCTCTACCGAGTCGAGCTCGAGCTATATTATTTTTATTCAAGCCGAGCTCGAGCTCGAGCTGGATTATCAAAATTCGAGTTCGAGCCGAGCTCGAGCTGAAAAATTAATAAACCAGCCGAGCTCAAGCTAAGCAAAAACTCGACTCGACTCGGCTCGTTTGCAGCCCTAGCTATAGGTGCATGTAGGCTCAAGAATGGCAGGAACAGAACAAGAGGCAGACTTATTATCAACAGAGTCCCCGTCAAGGTCAAACCCAATCACAATAAGAAACTTTGTGACAAAGTTGGCATTGGAAAAGCATGGTTCAGGAAACCGTACCGGAAGTGATACCAGACTTGTTTGTGGTAAGGTATTTTGTGGTATGACTGTGTTCAACCATTTTGTATTGGTAAATACCATTTTTTAATAGTAAAATATTTTTTTCGTAAAAAACCATACCAGCCAAAACATGATACTATTCCGAAGTAATACCAAAATGATATCGAAAAATACCGGATATAAATAATTTATTAATAGTATCATATAATAAATTACACATTAAATAATTTAAATTTCATGTAAAAAAGATAATAAAAATTAACGTATAAATCCTCATGCTTATTATCTTTTACCCACCGTCCATAGTGATGGCAATGGGTCGGGCGGGGCGGTAAACTCAATACTAATGTCCCGCTCCACGTTATTACTTGTCGGGCCGGGTAAAACCATTTTTATATGTTATTTGAAAAAAATACACGCAAATTTTACTTTTTACGATAAAACTAAGGAGAAAATACTTTATGAATGAAAAATAGTGATTATAGAATGAGTAATGGAGTCTAACAAATTGAACGATGGATTCTAACTAATTGAAAAAAGTCAAAATAGGAGAAATATGTAAGAAATTAAGATTAAATAGGTCAAGAACGGGGCGAGGCGAGCAAGGTAGGCCGAAAGTAGATACACATGCTCTGTCCCATGCTAATGCGGATCGGGAATTAATATTACCCACCCCTTCACAGATCAGGCCATGTAATACCCACAGAGCGGGTTCAAATTTCCATCACTAACCGTCCACCTAACACCACCCACGGCTTCTCTTCCAAAGAAGCTCCCCAATCCCTACTAACAATTAAGCAAAAAATTATCTTTGCTAACTATCAAGGAATAGGCAACACCTTGACTTTCCAAACGCTTAAAGCTTGCCGCAATATCACCAAGTCGTTCTTGTTTTTGTGTGAAACTATGTCTCCTAGTGACAAAGTCAGGCCTTTTATTTCTACGTTAGGATTTTCAGATTGTCATCCTGTCGACCCTTCCAGCCTGTCGGGGGGTCTAGTCTTTGCTTGGCCACCATCGACTTCAATATCGATTCTGAGCTCCTTCCCTTGCTATATTGCATCTCAGTCATCAATAATAATTATCTTTGCTATGGAGAATGCCCTCGGTTTGTCCTTATATGAGTTTATTTATCCTATATTGTGACTAAACGTCGATCTCAACTAGAGGAAATTGCAAATTTTTGTGCTCGCCTATCGGATCCCTATCTAGTTATTGGGGATTTCAATAGCTCCTAATACCCCCTTGATAAGTCAGGAGGATCCCCATGGCGAATGGATAAAGCCCGCCCACTTTCGGACTTTGTTAACTTCTTAGGGCTATTTAAACCAAACTCCCAAGGTCCCAAATTTACCTGGACAAATCGGGGAAGGAATGGAGTCACGATTGAACAAAAAATAGATAAAGTCTTCGTATCTACGTCCTGGATGAGCATCTGGCCATCGTCGAGTGTATATCATCTCACGGACAAAGGTTCGGATCACAGGCTACTTTACTTACAGACAAATCCTACTATGGCTAGAGCAAAGAGACTAATTCGCTTCGGTCCCAGGTGGATTCAGATGCCGAAAGCTGATCTAATAATCACGTATGCTTGGAACCTAGAAGTATCAGGCTCAATTCAATACTGCCTATTTAGTAAGCTTCTACGAACTAGACATGCTTTGGTTGGTTGGTCTAAAGGAGGAACGTCTAACTCAGCAAGGTTAATAAATGACCTAAACCTCGCACTAGAAGAGGCTAGATCTAATGCTCTGGTAAACTGGGCCTTAGTCAAATCCTTGGAAAAAGAATTGATTGTTCAGTATAACCGGGAAGAGTTATTTTGGAGACAAAAATCCCGAACTAATTGGCTACAAGGTGGGGATAAAAATACCACTTATTTCCATATAGTCACCTCAGCCAGACGACAAGCCACTACAATATGGGGTCTGGAGAACTCCAAGGGGTCATGGTGTACTGCAGAACATGAGAAATTGAGCATTGTTGTGGACTTCTATAAAGACCTCTTCCAAACACAGTGTATGACAGGGATCAACTTATCAAACCTCCCAGTAGAAGGAACAGTAGACGAGATCCAGAATCAAAATCTGATTGCTCCAATATCTCAAGAAGAAATTAAGAAAGCGGTGTTCAACATAGGCAAATCTCAAGCCCAAGGTCCTGATGGATTTACGGCAGGCTTCTATCAAAATTAGTGGAAGCTAATCAATCAAGATGTGATCCAAGCAGTACTGGCTTTCTTCCATTCTGGGCATTTACTAAGATCTTTCAACCGTACTTGGATATCACTAGTCCCTAAGGTAAACGACGTAAGAACCATGAAAAACTTAAGACCAATCAGTCTTTGCCTAGTGATTTACAAAGTCATAGAAAAAATTTTGGCAGATAGGCTGAGTAGGGTGATGCCTAGTATCATATCCCAAACTCAAAACGAATTTATCAAAGGGCGTTAAATTTCAGATAATATCTGATCAGTCATGAAATGGTTCACCCTCTCAAAACTTCAAAATCCAAGAAGAAAAGGTGGATGGCAGTGAAATTGGATATGGAGAAAGCATACGACCAAATAGAATGGCCTTTCTTGTTCGAAATGATGAGGATACTTGGTATACATCCTAGATTCATCTCTTGGGTAAAAGAGTGTGTCACTACAGTGTCATATTCGATTCTTATTAACGGCTCTCCATCAGAGTAATTTAGACCTTCAAGAGAGACATTCCTTTTCATGGAGGAGAAACTTATTAAGAAGTTACAAGGGTGGAACCAGCCATCTTATCTAAACCAAAAAGAGAGACATTCCTTTTCATGGAGGAGAAACTTATTAAGAAGTTACAAGGGTGGAAACAACGATCCCTATCGAAAGTTGGGAAAGACATTCTTATTAGAACATCGGCCACTAATGTACCAGTACTAGAAATGTCATGCTTCAAACTCCCCAAAGAAAACAGTAGACGTTTAAATGGTCATGTCGCAAAGTTTTGGTGGGGTACGTCACAAAATTCAGAACACCCAATCCACTGGTTGTCTTGAAAAAGTCTAGCTCACAGCAAATTCCATGGAGGTCTTGGGTTCAGAGACTTTGAAGCCTTCAATCAAGCGTTGCTAGCTAAACAATGTTGGAGAAAATGGACCAAGCCAAATTCACTTCTCTCTCCGATTTATAAGGGTCGATACTTTATTCAATGCTCGGTGTTGGAAGCATCAATCGAATCAAACCCTTCATGGGGATGGAGAAGTCTACTCTTTAGAAGAGATATGCTCCTACAGGGACTAAGATGGCAAATAGGCAAAGGGCAAAGAACTCGGGCATTCATTGATAACTGGGTTACGGGGGATAAACCCTTAACCCCGAGTACCCGACCCCATATTCAAAATGGATCACCTATGGTATCTTATTTCATAAAAGAAGGCCAAGGGGAATGGGACATTCCAAAACTCCAGACTTGCTTTGAGCCTCAATCTGTTGATCTCATCAGGAGAATTCCTCTTCCTCGTTACTCACAGCAAGATATTAGAGTGTGACACTATTCCAATGATGGAAAATATACAATCAAATCGGGTTATCACTTAACCTTGGAAATAGCATTGGCTTCAAGCTGAAAACCGATAGTACATATCATCGAACCTCCTATTTGGAAAAAGACTTGGAATATCCAAGTCCCACATAACCTCAAATTCTTCATATGGCAATGCCTCAAAGTCATTCTTCCCACAATAGCGACCCTTCAAACTCGTGGAGTAAATTGCCTTAACCGATGCCCTGTCTGCTGGAGACATCGAGAAAGCATATAACATTTATTCTTCAGATGCCCCCTAGCCATCAGATTGTGGACTTAAGTGGGATTGAGAACTTTATTGAGACAACCTAGACTGTTTACTTTAGTCTATAGCGACGACATGTCATGGTCTCTGAGACCTCCCAATTCCACATTCTCCAATGCGTCTGTTTACTTTGGAGAATCTGGAAGTCTAGAAATAAAGTGACCTTCGAATTTTACCAACCTCATGTCCGTTTCCTAGCCAGACAGTTCTACAACCAGGTCCTTGAAGTCTCCAATTCTTCTCCTTCCTCCTCCACCCCGCAACTCTCTACTCCCAAACCATCCTGCCACCACTTGGGTCCCTCCCCCAGAAGACTTTTTGAGGATCAATTTCGACGCTGCTGTCTTTGCCACTGGGTGTTCGTCTGGGCTTGTTATCTGTGGGTCAGACGGGCATGTCGTGTTGGCGTTCAGGTTGCAGCATCAAGGAATAGTCAATCCCTACATGGTAGAGCTTCTAGCCTTTAGAGACGCTATCTCCATCGTAGTCTCAAGATCCTTTACCCACGTGATAGACGAAGGTGATTCCAAAGTGGTCGTCAACCAAGTCCGTCAAGGCGTCATAGAAGACTCGATTGGTGGTCCGGTGTTACGAGAGTGTCATCAGATCCTTAGTTGTTTGTCTGTTTGTATAGAGTTTAGGACGGTACCTAGGTCCGCCAACAGTGTTGCCCATAGATTGGCGCGTAAAGCACTGCTTTTGTCTCGTCTAGAGCTAGAATCTTTTGATTTTTTGGGGTGGCTTCTTCAGAGTCTTTTAGGGGTACTGGGTAGAATTGTAAGTTTAACTATTATCCTCCATTGATATCACTCAGAAATAAAAAAAATTAAGCAAAAAAAAAACTCACTAAACTCTTTCTCTCTCTCTTCCACAGAAGTTTCCGGTCGAGCCCCTATACGTTTCTGGTATGGGGATCTAGAGGTTGAGCGACCAAGCCGATGAAAAGCGAACTTCTCCAATCGCCTTGGTCGGGATGGAGTGGCGGCGACCTCAAATGGAGTAGTGACCTCGGTCGAAAGACGAAGAATGTTGAATGGAGCGGTGGCGGCATCCATGTGCAAGGGAGAGAAAAGACGAAGGGCGATGGACGCCTGGAGTGAGAAGAGGCATAATGCATGGATGCCATATTTTTAGCCTAGGTTAATTCGGATTATAACTGGATTGGTTGTGAATGGCTTCCCTTAGCTTAGTTAGTCGGTCTTGAGTCTTAGTTGGTGGACGAGGTGACCATCCCCTGCCAATTAAGAGCTTACCTAGGTAATGATTGGTACTCAAGTGTGTGACAATCCACTTGAAGACCTTGTGTGCAAATGGGTGAAACCCGTTTAGAGGAGATAGGACGCTATCCCTAGTCACTGAACCCGGTTGTAGTGACATTGGACATGCGAATGTGGCTAGGAGGGGAACTAGTGGCTTGACCATTGCATTGTTTTCCATATTAGTGATCTTCGCACCTCAATTACCTTGAAATGCTATACCTGTTGATTGCATGTCTACTTGATGTTAGGGCGAGTGTGGTTTGCCCCAGATATTATTCTTTCTATTATTGTCTCTATCGTTAAGCAATTCCTCAGTGTAAAAAACAATCAACTATCAATTAGATAACAATATAATGTAATAAGAGTAGGCTAGGGTATCAGTGATCTCTGGGGAATACAAATGTGCCGCTATACTGCAAGCCAAACAGTGGTACACGTGTAGTTGTCAAGGTTAGTAGTTGGTGACTATCGTTAATTAAAGCTCAATTTCGTGCAAGCAAAGAAAAAGAATCAACGACAACCTTGTGTTAGAGACAGACTTCAAATGGCCATACAAGTGATCAATAATCGAATTGACCACTTCACCCATAATCCTCCCTTTTGGATTCGATTAGGAGGAAAGTAGCTCGAGGTTGGTTGGTTGGTACGTTTATACATATCGCAAAGGGAATAGAGTTACAAACTGACTTTTGAAGTACAATCTCGTCTCCCTTGGTGAACTCGCTAACTCATCGATGGAGCTAGGAAAGATTATTCGAAGATGATGTGATGGGAATTTGCTTTGAGCGCCCAATCTTGGTCCGCCCCTCCCTCTATCCTGCTTCTACTTCGATTCAACCCCTCTTGTTACTTCTTGGCTGTTAGCCTCCCATAATGAAAAACAAACAAGACTAATTTATCCCTATTGAACCTTCACCACGAAATAAATTGTTAAATCACACTCACAAATAACAATAACTAAAAAAAATTAGAAAAATAAAAGAATTAAAAATGTTCCATTTGTTTTTCTTGTTATTTTGCAGTTGTTCTAACAGAAAAAATGTGAATAGTAAAAGAAGCTAAAAAAAGCTAAATGAAGGAAATAGATAAAACTAAATATGTTTAACTTACAAGGAAAATGAACAAATAGTCTCTACCGAGGATATGTGAATTGCAAATATGACATTCTAACTTGTTTTTGGTTTTCAATCTACCTTAGAAGTTCTTACTTTGCCCTCACAATCCAGAAAAGATGAACTCAGGGCGTTCTTATGCGCCCTGTTTCATCAAAACAAAAATATGAACCAACCTCAAACACAAAATTTTTTTTGCTAACAACATTACCCACAATTTCGTTTACCTAACTTTTGAGCTATATCCTCATCTTTTTACTGCTTAATCTTCATGAATAAATGATAATCCTTCCCTCCTCTCCCTAATCACCACGGTGGAAAAATAATCTCATCTCTCAAAATTTACCCTTTACAATTGAAAAAAAGGTAGAAAACTCAGAAGGAAACAGGTAAAAAACTAAAAATGATTGGGCAGCAACCCGACGGAGAATCAAGAATAGGCAACATAATTTTGCTGGTGGTTTCATGCTTAGTCGGCATTCTTGTATCTGTTTCCCTCGCTCATCTCAATGAACTCACCGGCAGCGGTAGCAACACCGCCAAATCGCCTCAGAAATCGCTAGTCCCGCCGTCGACGATTCCAAACAGCTTGTCTCTGTTACCTCCAAATTCCAAGATCGAACTGGAAAATGTATGCTCCTTCACCGATTACCCTCCAACTTGCAAGGCCTCCCTCTCAACGATTTCCCCTGCTTCCGCCATTGACTATGCGACCTATGCCGTCAATGCAACACTACAGGAAGCCACGACCGCACAATCGGCGTTCAATGCCGCCGCCGGCAGAGATAATGGACAATCGTGGCTCAAGGCCCATAAAATCTGCAGCGAGCTCATGGACTCAGCTGTCGACGACCTCAATTCGTCACTGTTGATTCTAGCCTCCGGGAATTTGACGAACGCTTCACAGGAGAGCTATTTCTCCATCATGAGCAGGCTGAGCGCCGTCGTCGCTTACCAGAGCACCTGCCGCGACGCATTGCGTATGTGCGGCGGCACGAGGAAAGTCAGGACTCGGCTCGGAAAACCCATCAAAATGACTAGCAACGCGTTGGCGATCATAAATTCCGCTTTCAATCGATCTTCTCAACCACCTCAGATCCCCGACGACGGGAACCTGGCCAGTGGTGCCAATTCTTTGCCCCGACCCGATGCGGTGGTTGCTGGTGATGGAAGCGGCAGATTCAGAACGATCACCGAAGCCCTATCGGCTTACAAACTCAACGAGCTCGGCCGCTACGTGATATACGTGAAAGCAGGGGAGTACAACGAGAGCGTGACAATAGCAAAGGACCGAGTCAATGTCTACATGTACGGCGACGGACCCGACCGGACTGTGGTGTTCGGGTCAAGATCGCAAGAATCCGGCCTCTTGACTTACGAGACCGCCACCGTAGCGGTTTTGGGAGATGGGTTCGTGTGTCGGTCGATGGCGATTCAGAACAGGGGGAAATCAGGGGGCGCGACGGTGGCGGTTAGGGTTCAGGCGGACAGATCGATATTTTACAATGTCACAATTGAAGGCAATCAAGCCCCGCTCTACGCACTGGCTCATCGTCAATTCTACCGCGAGTGCAAGATCTCTGGATCCACCGATCTAATTTTGGGCGACGCAGCGGCGGTGATTCAAGATTCCGAGATCCTAGTGAGTCCCGATTCGGGAGTGCCGGCGTATGGTTTTGCTGCCGTGACCGTGCAAGGAAGGGCAGAAAGATTCGAGACGACCGGGTTCGTGCTGCAGAACTGTACAATCAAGGAGATTGGAGGTGCGAGAGTGGAGATTGTGCTTGGGAAGCAATGGAGGAAGGGGTCGAGGGTAGTGGTGATGGAGTCGTACCTGGGAGAAGGGATTGCGGCAGAGGGATGGAAGGTGAGGGTTTCCTCCGCCGGCGGGGGAGACTTTGCGGTGCCGGAGAAATCGTTGTATGCGGAGTTTGAGAACTACGGGCCTGGAGCAAATACGAGCAAGCGGGTCCGAAGCTCCACTGTGATTAAGGAAAGGTCGAAGGCGGTTCAATATGCTCCAGACTTGTTTATTCAGGGGTATTCCTGGATTCCCCAGGCCGGTGTGCCGTACCAGGGAGGATTGTAGTGACAAAAAAAAAAAAAAAAAAAGTGTAGGAAGTGAAAATGTGAAATGAAATTGCTCTGCTGTAACTTGTAAGCCAAATTTGTGGAATAAATGAAAGTGAAACCTTTTGTGGAAATGGTGGGACCTGATGAGATTTGCGTGAATGTATACAAAAGTCATGATATGTGTGGATTTTATTTTTAACACTAGCTTTTACCCGGTTCGTTAGCCGAAATATTTTAAGTTATCGACTCTTATAATAAGAAGTAGGGTTGAAGCGTGATAGCATTTATTTTTTGAAGTTTTGTTTTTGCCAATATGGGTTGTCCGGATTGGAGGCTAGAGAAGGATCCATGAAATATTTTTTTCCCCCCGGTAATTCCATGAAAATATTTTGTCCCATTCGAAATCGTTTTGGCCTACCTAACTTGTATTACCAATAACTATGAAGATATCATAGTTTACAAGTAAAAGATAAGTCAATGTCGAAAATCAAAACCACTAACACTTATAGGAACACAAAGAGATTGCATTTTTATCCACCAAATTGGTTGCTCGATTGTTTTATCTGCATATGAATTCCACAACAAAACGTTCGTACTGCTATTAGAGTTGGCGAATTTCCTCGAAAATGACTCCACCTCTACCATCACGTATCTCCTGACCTCATACCTTATCAATGATTGCTTTTGCACCCCCTTGAATACCACCTCTGTTGCACCCTTTTAAAGATCACTATTGGATTGCCTCTCAGAGAGCCATAAATTCAGTTATATAGAGATCTTAGATACCTTTATATTGGAAGCCCGACAAAAGTCACACTGGCCATCCTGTCTTTACAACTTATCACTCAACTTTGAGTGCGAACTTGACAACACTGCGCCATCTATTTTCAGAGAATTTTATATTCAAACCATTAATAAAGTGTTAATATATTGTTATATTTAAAATATTATTGAATATACTATAAGATTTTAGACAAATATATACATTCGGATCAAAATACTACAACACCTCTTTTTTAAATTAAATATATAAATCTAGATCATGAATAAAATAAAAAAATTTAAATCCCATTCTAACAATTTGTTACCAAATTTATGCATAAAATTATATAGATTCACTTTGTATTTTAAAATTTATTTATAAAATAAAAAGATAGAAGTACATGTATTCCCCTCCCACCTCAACCCTTAAGTTTTTACCGAATGATATTCTAGTACTCCACATTACAGTCAAACTGTTTCTCATCATCTTCTCAATTTTTCTAACTATCAATCGTCAATTTTTCGCTCCCTTACACCAAATTGGTATCCTCTATGAAATTTCAAGATTCAAATAAAAACATTTCTTTTATCAATCCAAACAATCTCTAAATTAATGCTCATCTCAGTAATCTCATCGAATCTATTTCTTCCAATCTAGTCAACAACTTTTAACCCGGCTGAGTTCACATCACATGTAAAGAGCCTAAATTCTATAAAGTCTTAGTCGATCGCTGGTGACAGACATATAATTCGTCTGCTAATCTTATAAAAAGCTTGTATTATCAGTCAATATTCTTCATATTTACTCTCTCCTTTTATATGTATGCCTCTCTGGTGAAACAACCATTATTTGTCGTTCGGTCACATCTATTAATTCTCAAATATTTTTCGAATTCCTCCAAGTTTGTATTTTTGTGTTCTAAAGTAGGAGCACCAACCCAAGTCTCTTGAATTGTGTGGTTTAACATTTAAGGATTACTTAATGTTAGAGAATATGTAAATAAATTTAAGGGTAATGACTATTTATTAGTCAAACCCTTTTTCACATTCTTTTTTATTAGCCAAACCTATCAAAATACTAAGAATTAGCCAAATGTTAACTTTCAGTTAGCAATTTTGTTAGTAATATTGACATGGCAACATGATACTGATTTGGAAGAGACACATGAAAGTCAACATTCCAAAATTTTAGTATTTTAACTAAAAAAAGAGTTACAAAATTATTAACGATAATGTAAAAATGACTAATATTTTGATGCATTACGAAAGATTTGGCTAATTAATAGTATTTTAATAGGTTTGAATAATATAAGAGAATCTGAAAAAGGTTTGGATAAAAAATAGACATTATCCTAAATTTAATAGAAATGAAAAATGTTTAAATCGCATAACTATTCACATTCAGATAAATAAGTTTCTGCCCGTTCATATTATTTAATATAAAAGACAATCAATAAATGCACTTATTACTCGAATTAGTTGCTAGATGAAATACTAAATTTCAATCAACTAACACTAAAAGCCAAAGATTGTGAAAGCGTATCGGAAAAGTAAGTGGTTGTGTACTTTGTACTAAAATCATGATTCACCGTAGTTCAAGCATTTCCTACCGCTAAAACCACATATTGGTTGGGTAGAGTATCCGTTATTTCTGGTCCAACTGAACGGTACGACAGGGTTTCTAAAATATTGCTAATTTCATAATTAATAAGTTTACTTCTTTCTAGACTTGATAAGCAAAAGCATGACCTGGTAGGTACTCCAATAAAACAGGGCACACAATAAATCTCAATTGCTCACTCATGGCCCTAACCAATCAAATAAGACCCAACATGCACCTAGATCTAGGAAATACATGCTCAAGGACTACACAAATGACAAAAATGTCCACACCGAAGAGAGAAGGTAATGAACCGTAGGGCCACACATCATTCTGGTTCGTCAAATTGATGCTCAGTCATTTTAAGTTATAACAAATATTGAGACCACTTAAAAGGACAAATAGAGTGCGATAAATAGGCGTGCACTTTATCCATTATTAAATGCGTTAAGATAGTCCATGCACGAACTCATGTACCTGGACATACCATTATTAATGTTTAACCTGATTTCTTATTATAAACAGAGGTAACGTATCTAGAGAGGGCATACACTAACACAAAATTTTGCCAACAATCAACCTGAACATCATTTCGTATATGAGTCTCAACAACCTCTTACGCCTAGAACCTTTCTTTCTCTCTTCATACTTTCCTGATAACTTTTTGATACTTTACCTTCTTAATTGTCGTAATATTATCAAACACCAATCCATCCACCTATCCTCCCTCTAATCCAAGCTTTCTCGGTCCACCAGGTTTTTGGCTGACATTGAAACCCACCCGTCACAATCACACATTTTGCAAAATTAGCCTTCCACAAACTCCTCTGCGTGCTTGAAACTTGAAATGGGGCATCATGTTTTCCCATTCCACTTTTATATTAAGATTGATTTAGAGAATTTGAGTTAGATCTACTTAGAGATTAAAATGAAACTTCTAAATTTCGAGATACAGAAACAACTTTTATTGAATAATTGGGTTAGTTTGCAAAGCTTATTTAATAAGTGTGATTTATCTACTTCCTCTATGTCCTACTTAATAGTGAATAATTTATCAGGATATAAAAATGAGCTACTTTCTTTATTTTCTACATTTTCTCCCGTTCCAACAAATGTCAAATGGAACTTAAGGAAATTACTAAAGCTGATATGCAAAATGGGCCCATAACAAAATTACGACTTTGGCATGGTTTTATCCTACACGTATAAAGTAAAAAAATATTTTCCAAATTGTTCCACCACAAAATTCTTTGGATGTAGCGAATTTGAAATAGAGCTGGTAGTTTTCATTTTCTACTTTTAATTAAAGTGTTGATTAATTCTCTCTTTCGCCACAAATAAATTAACAACATAATCATCTCTCCTAATATTTTCCTAGTCCCTACGTTAAACACCTAAAACTTAAACTGAAAGGAGGGTTGATTAATTAAAAGCTAATATACACTCTAAATAATCATAGAATATTAAAACTACCACCCCATTCAAAAATCCCTGCCTCCAGAGTGATTTTCGAAGGATAGTTTGGGAACTGGAAAATTTGTATTTTCAGGCTAGCCGCTGCAGGTGTGGTGTTTGGACCTCATTTTTGTTTCGTGACCCAAATGAGAAACGGACTCATTTCCTTCCCTATTGCGCTGACGATTTTCATCCGACCTTCGTTTTCTTCGACCCACTTTCTTCTCTCCATTTTTTCCCCTTCACAAACTCACCTCTGTAGTTCAACACACTAATTTCATACGCCCGGCAGAAGGTTTTTCATACTCCATAGACAACTCCTCTCTTCTTTTTTTCTTCTTCGCATCATTTTCTCTATCGTCGCAAATCCAAAAGCCTCTATTACCAGTAGGGAGGTCTCGAGATTCACTGGTGTTTGTCCATGCTCTATGTCTGTCGCCTGACTGATTCTTCTTCATTTCAGCTGCAACGATTCTGTTCCCATTGTATAAACTGTTTCTGAAATTGTCCCTCCACCAAACTCTCTGGATACAAGGAATTTGAAATGGAACTGGCAATATTTGAACGAACATTATCATATGTTCTATTGAACTCAAATGTGCTGCTAGATGGGAGCCAACATTGTTTTGAATTTTGACTGGGAGAGATGAAGAACGGAAAAGAAAGATAGTAAATGGGTTGGAATGAGATGTAATGTGACTATTCATTTGTCCCTCTTAATTTTCCTTTTTTGTTAGTGAATATTTCCTTTCTTTTTGTGGCTTTTTTTTTTATTTAAGTTAATTCGAATAAAATTCAAAAAAACTTCAAATTGTCAAGTTAACACAAAAAGTGTCACGTTAGTGTATCTAGTTAATATAGTCAGCATAGGTACGATGGTGGTGTTAAGTTTAACATATTTCATGATGGAATGACTATATTTGTAGTGTAAAAACTTACTACTTTTGTCACAAAAGTCGACGTTTTAGTTATACTAGAATTGAAGCCCGCGTTGCGCCGCGGAATCAGGCCGTATGCAAGTGGTGCCAGAGAAAGGATTAAGATTGTAAACCCGCCAAGTGATGAAGTCCTCATGAGGGAAAATAGTGGCTGATGAAAGAACAAAAGGCCAGAGAACCATAAAAGGAATGAGTTGATTTCACTACTTGATAACAGAACAGCCTACTTATTGTTGGATCAAGAAAATGTTACATAAAGTG